TCCCCTCTCCATTCCAGTTCTGCCAGACACAAGGCATTGAGTATCTGACAGGCAGAGTGTGGATTGGTTTGTGGCTCATCGTCTTCATCTTCATTATCGTGGCAGCTGAGGGAAGCTTCTTGGTGCGCTACATCTCACCCTTCACCCAGGAGATCTTTGCTTTCCTCATCTCCCTCATCTTTATCTACGAAACCTTCTACAAACTGTACAAGGTGAGCATTCCCCAGGGAGACAGGCTGCCGCATCTCTCAGTCCCCCAGGAACCTGCTGCTTTAGCATACAGGAGGCAGGGGAGCAGGGCCAGCTCAGCCACAGCTTTCCTAGGCATTCTGCAGAGCAGTTCTTTGTTGGCCTCTCATGCCCCAGCCCAGCTGGCCCCTGTGCCACCGCAGAGGCTGGCAGGATGAGCCCTAACATCTGTCTCCCCTTCTCTTCCTGCAGGAGGCTTTAAAGAGGGGCCACTTTTCTCTCCCCAGCCCTCTCCAGCTGGGTAGGTTGCGAGGCGAGGTGACGGATGCTGGGATTGTCCGCGCCCACCATCTACTGCCCTCACCTCTCCACAGAGCAGGACACCCCCGCATCCCCCTGCCCCAGTAGTGACAGTGCCCCCTGCCCCTCCCTGCGGTGACATTGCCCGCTGCTTCTCTCACCTGCCCAGGTGTTTGCAGAACATCCTCTGCTGAAGTTCTACCCACCGAACGTGCAGAGCGGCCTGAATGCCAGCATGCTCTCTGCGGATGCAATGCCACTGGGAATCAGGATGCAGCCCAACACCGCTCTCCTCTCCCTCATCCTCATGCTAGGCACCTTCTTCATTGCCTTCTTTATGCGCAAGTTCAAGAACAGCCGTTTCTTAGGAGGAAAGGTGAGAAGTTTGTGGCACCCAGATGTTAAGAACAAGGGACGTGCCAAACAAGTAACACTTCTTGCTAACAGTCCTTTGTTCTTTAGAGCATTTGGACCATCCCCCAAAGAAACAGCGGCAGTCCCTTAGGTACCATGCAGAAGGGATGGCAGCCTGACCTAGGCTGCAGACCAGAGCTGGCTGTTGGTGGTATCTGCAATGTCCTGCTCCAGTGAGCTTTGCCAAAAAGTCCCCTGGGCCTTGGGAAAGCTTTTTCGGCCCCATACAAATCTGTGAAACTAGAATACAGGAGGAAGAGCTTACAACTTGTTCCCTTTGAACATCTGTACACGCAGGGCATCTGTGTAATACCTGGAGCACCATCCGAATAGACCAGTTGGAGCAAATAGCCACTTACTTAAGAGTGTCTGGAGGACTGTGTGTTATGTGGGCAGTGGGGTGTGCAGCCCCATGGGCCAAGGCTGGGTTCCCTTGTCCTGCTCAGGTTTGCAGTGGTGCCTGGCCCTATCTGGGGCTTCGCTTTGCCGCAGGCTCCCTGCAGCAGGGTGGCTGCACAAAGCCAGCCCATTCCCTTTGCCAGCGAGGGTGTTTGTCCTGCAGGCTCGGCGGATCATCGGAGACTTCGGGATCCCCATTTCCATCCTGGTCATGGTGCTGGTGGATTACACAATCACTGACACATACACACAGGTATGTGCCAGTGCCGCCCTCAGAGCCCCTCCTGCAGCCTAGCGCAGATCCCTGTGGCACTGTGGTCTGCTCTTGTGCAACGGGGGAGTTGTGTTTCCTGCCTCTTTAGTCATAACAGCACAAAGCAAATAGAGGTGCTCCCCTCATCCCCACTCCCATGCTGAAGGGAAGCTCCAAGGGTCTTGCTGAGACAGAGCAGAACTACAGGGATTGGAGTGGCCCTGGTATCACTGTGATACTCCAGCTGTTAGTAGGGGAGGCTTTAGGGGACTGGAGAGGTTCAGCACAGTTAATTGCTTGTTTGTAACTCTTAAAACTTGCAGTCAATTGCCAAGACATAAGTTGATTATGTACACTGAAGGGGGTGGCATAGAGTGGTTTCAGTGGGGTAGTTGTATACTCTCCTTGACTATAGGCTACTAAATATTCTGATCACTTTATCTCAAACACAATGATCTCTTTCCCAGTGTATGCACAAACTTAGATGTTACCAAACAAACCCATCTCACAGGTTTCCTTCCCCCCGCTTCCTTTTCAGTAGGTGTGTAGTTATATCTTTTTGTTTTGATATTTCTTTCAGTTAACACCAGGGAGAGAGTGAGAGGTAGTTCCTGTTCAGCATGCAAGCTTTTATCAAGACAGCCCAAGGCTTAAGAGAATCCAAATGCATTTTTATTCATTTAAATTTCAATGAAAAATCTGTTTCTATCAGACATTAGCAAAATCTTGCATTTTGTTATATCCTTTTCATACCCTTCTACACTTCTACAATTAATATTAAAAGCATTATCATTTCAGTCTTAACTCAGCATATGTACAAAGCTTTCCAAGAAAATGCTACTTAGTTACACAGCTTAGCTCAAGTACAAGCATTCCAGGAATATTATTCATACTTATGCTGATTAACATAAATGCAAATCATAAACTCTCCCTGCAGTGCTCACACAGGCAGATCACAAGAACTGCTCTAGAGCAGTGCTGAGCTGAGAGTTCAAATGCTGGTGAACACAGAGTTAGGACGATGGATCCGTGGAGTCTGTGTGGTCTCCGAGTGGAGCACAAACATGATATTCCCTCTGAACATGATCAGAGTGAGGTCATTTCCAGAGAATATGGCCAGTTCTGGGGTCCACACTGCAAAAACAGTATTGGAAAAATGTCTCAGAAGAGGTTTGGAAAGTCTGGAAAGCCACCTCAGAGAAGGGTAGGCAGTTCAGGACACTTGATTTGTCCAAGCAGAGGTCAAGGAGCATTTTAACCATGGTCTGCAAGCGCTGACCTGGGGGTGAGGTTCCTGAGGGAAGATGTTTCCTTGGTCTCTTGGACAAAAACCAAGGGAATTTCAATAGCTGAGGGGAAATGACACAGGCCCATGTTAGCAGACATGGGATTTTTTGCACTGAAGGGGATTATCCATGAGAAAGTCCCACTCAGGTCAGGGTGGCTGTCCCAATATCTGAGGCGTTCAGACCAGGGAGACCAGGAGGATCAAGGCTAGTCCTGTGTAAGGCTGTGGGCATGGGTGTATTGGTGAGTAACTGCTGGGTTTTGTGGCTACACCACCAGAAGCTGAATGTGCCCTCTGGCCTGTCGGTCACATCTCCTCATAAGCGTGGCTGGTTCATTCACCCCATGGGCAGCAGCGGGACCTTTCCAATGTGGATGATGTTTGCCTCTGCCATCCCTGCCCTCCTGGTCTTCATTCTTATCTTCATGGAGACACAGATCACTACGTGAGTAGCTCCCCTACCAACACCAACCATCACTAACCACTGGGCAGGCAAGGCTGGGATGGGTGCTGGTGCCATTGGTGTGGAGATGCGCCTGGCCCAGTGGGACAGCAAGGGCAGGATCCTGGCCTTTTAGGACTGTACCTTCTTGGGTTCTCCCATCGTCTCTTGGCTTCCCTCCTGGCATACAGTGTGGTGGGGACTTGCCTCAGCCAAGCACAGGAGGAAACCTCTAACCTGAGGTTGACAGTTGCCATCCGTCTCCCTGGCTATCTCCTCCTTGTCCCCATGTGTGCCCTCTCCAGGAGTGGACATTGTCCGCAGCCATAGTGCGGTCCCTGGGTACTGGGGTGGGCCTGGCACTGACCTGGGCTCTCTTTCCTCCCAGGCTGATTGTGAGCAAGAAGGAGAGGAAGCTGCTGAAAGGCTCTGGCTTCCACCTGGACCTGCTGCTCATTGGCACTATGGGGGGGCTTTGTGCACTCTTTGGGCTGCCCTGGCTCACCGCAGCAACAGTGCGCTCCGTCACCCATGTCAATGCCCTGACGGTCATGAGCAAGGCCATTGCACCAGGAGAGAAGCCCAAGATCGAGGAGGTGAAGGAGCAGCGTGTGACTGGAGTGCTTATTGCTGCCCTTGTTGGTGAGCCTCTGCTTGGGTGAAGGAGTCAGGAGGGAGGTCAGGGCCGACCACCAAAACTCCTTCCTGGCAGCCCTCTGCCCCACAGGCCAGCCTGCGCTCTGCCTGCTTGCTGCAGGGCTGCCCCCACCTAGGCTCACACCAGCTCTCCTCTGGCAGCCTTTGGTAGCCCCTCACGGTCAATCCTTCTCTGCAACCCCTCCAGCTAGACCCCTTTTGAGTTTCCTTTCCCTTGCACCCCAGGGCAGACAGAGAGGAGATGGGAGGGGGATGGAGGCTGGAGTCCCTTGCAGAGGGGACACACCATAACCTGAGCTCTGTCTGTGCAGGTCTGTCCATTGTGATGGGGAACATGCTGCGGCAGATCCCGCTGGCTGTGCTTTTCGGCATCTTCCTCTACATGGGGGTTACATCACTCACTGGCATCCAACTCTACGAGCGGCTGCTCCTCATCTTCATGCCATCCAAGCACCACCCTGACCACATCTATGTTGTTAAGGTGAGCAAAGGCAGATTGTGGGGAACCGGGTAATGAGGAGCAGAGGAGGAAGAGGCAGCTGAGGGGAAGGATGGTGCCTTGCTAGAGTGATGCTTGGCTTGGTGACCCCCGCCTTGGCGACCTCCACCCTGGCTGCAAGTTTGTGCCAAGAGGTAAGTGCAGGCCATGCACAGAGGTGATACAACACTCGGATAGCAGGCTGGCGGGCTGCACACCAAAGTGTGTTGCCAGGATATTATATGGATGGACTGTTTATAGGGGTGATGCATTGCTTGAGCGGGTGTAGGGACACTATGCTGCCAGGTAGGTATGCTGCCTTGCTCTAGAGTACAGGCAGGTAGAGCACGCAGCAGTGTTGCGTTACTGTACTACGCTATGCAGAAGTGTTATGTTTTGCCAGTTGGGTCTTCATTAATCTGTGTGGAAGGATAATGTGTTCTTAGACTGGATTTACCTCCCTAGGTGAAGACCTGGAGAATGAATCTCTTCACCTGCATTCAACTGGCTTGCATTGTGCTGCTCTGGGTGGTGAAATCTACAGTGGCATCCTTGGCCTTCCCCTTTGTCCTGATCATGACAGTGCCATTGCGACGATTCGTGCTGCCCCGCTTTTTCCATGACAGGGAGCTCAAAGCGGTAAGCAGATAACTGTCCTCATGGTCCAGCTTGCAATGCTGGAGTGAGGTTGAGGAGATTTGGCAGACTGAAAGGCTGGGAGATCCCCAGCTGGTAAAGCCTTGGCTTTCCCTGCTGTTGTCTGGGGCTCTTTGTTCAACAGCAGTAGGTGGGTGGATGGCTTTCTCAGAGCTTGTAGCCCTGGGAGTGCAGTGTGGGATGGATGGGCAGCCTAGGGCAAGGAGACAGAGGATCCTGCCATGCAGAGGTGTGGAATAAGGGTTTCCTCTTCCATCCTCATCCCCATCTGTGGCTCATTCATCAAAAGACACCCCATTTCCCCACTGAGACAGCAGCAAGGACAGCCCAGCAGCACACCAGGGCCTGTGGCTGCTTGGCATAGGAGCACGTAACCACAGTGCCAGGGTGCTGGCAGATCCTCGAGTGCTGGCAGCTCCTCTGCTACTGCCAACATCCTAGCTCTTGTTGGAGAGCAGCCTGGAGCAGCACCCAGAAGTGGGTGCTGCCAGCAGGGGAGGAGGGAGGAGCTGCTGTGCTGGACCAAAGCCCCAGTGGTGGGGCACTGCCAAACAAGAACACTTATGGGAAGGGGCATCAGGCTGGGGAAACATGGACGGGCATGAGGGGCAAAAAAAGAAGCCTGTTGGGAGGGGAAGGAGCAAGAGCTTTGCTCTTCCCAGTGCAGCCCAGCTGCCTGGCTTGCTGTGTGCTGGTCTCTCAGTGCCAGGCTCGGCCCCATGCTGGGGTGGCTGTGACCTTCAGAGCCTGGTCTCTGCCTCTCCCCAGTTGGACTCAGAGGATGCAGAGCCGAACTTTGACGAGGATGGCCGGGACGAGTACAACGAGCTGCACATGCCTGTGTGAGCTGGGACCTGCCCTCCCTGCTCATGGGACAGGCTGCTCACGCCCGCTCAACCCTCCCAAGGACTAACTGGAGTCTTGCTGTGAGTCATGCGATCTCTTGCCTGGACCAACGAATGGCTGTTCCATAGCCGCGCAGGAGGAAGCCCCGGCTCCTGCTGCCCCATCGCTCGCTCAGCAGAGGCTGTGAGTCTCTCTCCTCTTGGACCTGGTGGGCTGAGAGATGCCTCTCACATCCCGAAGCTGTGTGGGTCCTGAGTGCCCGTGGGTCAGGGGTCTGCCCCCTCCCTGCTGGAGGCAGCCTGTGTCTGGTCTCCAGGTGGTGAAGGGGAGCCATGCCAGCTGGTGCCACTGTGTCCCCCTCCACTACCATGAAACTTGTGTGTCAGCACCACGTGCCACCGAACTGTCACAGGGATGGGCTGGATGCTGCCTACGGACAGCCAGTGGGCTTCTCCCAGGCCAGCAGCCTCCTTGCTCAGCTGGCAGATGCCTTGCTCCCGCTCCTCCTGCCCCCTTCCAGGAGTGCTCACGCTGAGCCTGTGCCACAGCCCCTGGCCCACAGGGCTGCTGCAGCCTGGCAGATGGGCAAGGAGGGACCAACGCTCTGGCCCTGTCCTCCAGACCCTCGTCTGCCCAGTCACCCTCCCATAGGACTGTTTTCAGCTCTTGCTCAGCGTGGGGGAGGCTGCTTCCTCCCAGTTTTCTCAACCCTCTTCCCAAAGAAAAGCCGCACAGGGAGGGGACAAGCAGGTATCCTGAAGCCTCAGGTGCCTGCCCTCTTGCAGGGACTAAAAGGAGTCCTGTGCCATTCTGCACCCCCACAAAGGTTGCAGGGGTAAAAACTCATCACAGGGCTCCATCCCAGTTCCTGATCCCCACGTTCCTGTCCCTGAGAACAAACCGTATTTAAGAAGCTATACAAGAGATCTAGTGCTGGAGCACAAAACAGTCCTTTGGGTCCCCTCCCTTTCCCTGTGCAGTGACCCACTGGGTCTGGCTCCCTGGTGCCCCGCAAGGAAGTCACTGAAATCCCTAGCCCCAATTCTGCTGCCATACCAGGGTGACCTTTCATGTCCAGAGGTGTCCTCCAACTGGGAAGGAGCAGCATTCAGCGTGCCCAGCACTCAGCCCCTGTCACCTCTGGGCAGCTCCGAACACCTTTCCGCCTGGCAGGGCTGTCCCCTGGGGTCTGCCCGGGCCAGCGGCCCTTGTTCGGAGCTGCCTCAGAAACTGCTGATGGTGCCTTTGCTGCCTGTGGCAGCTCTGAGGGCCTCTTCCTGATGATCAGAGCTGGAGTGGCCTTGTGGAGGAGACTGGGATGCTCACTCCACCATAGAATTTAGGACAAGCTGCTGCCCCAATTCCCATGTATCAGCCTGGCTCCTATGAGAGATGGTGGGTGCTTCATTACTGGGAGAGTCCAACACCTTCCCCAGGAGGCTGCAGAAATATCCCACCAGAGGGAAAAACCTCTCACTGCGGCAGGTTCCTGCCCCACAGCCTGGCCCCTCTGCAGGGCCCGGGGTGGAGAGACGAATGTCTCTGTGTGTCTGTGGCCATGTGTGTCCTGTCCTCCCTGTGTAGTGTAGGAGGCCTGTTGTCGCTGTGCATTGTGACTCCTCTGACTGTAGTGGAAACAGCTACACCAATAAACTCTTCACAGGAACCGCGTCTGCCTCTCCGCTTTTATTTGTTGATTGGCAATAAATTAAATTGATTGAAATTCCCTGACAAAACTGTTTCTTGCCCACAACAGCAGCCAGTGAGAGAGCAAGCCCTAGCTGGGACTGTGACCTTGTCACCTACTACCCTCACAGAGATGGGCTCTCTACCACCATCACCAAGCAGGCTGGTTACCAGCTGGAGCCCCCGTGCAAGCTGCTGGAGACAGGAGGCTGAGCCCCATATTTAACCAGAAATGTGTACTCGTGCCTGTGTGCATCCATATAAACACATGTCTGTGCCTGCATGCTCGGCAGTGCTCAGTGCCCATCTCCTTACCCAGCCTGTAGCCACACGCTGAACAGCAGAGCCATGGGCTGAGCACAGAGGAAACATCTCATCAACCACATATTTCCTCCACACTTTCTTCCCAGGCAGGAGCCAAGTCAGGTTCCCAGGAGCTGCTGGCTGCCCACAGCCCACACTGTGATTGGTTGGACATCCTCCAGTTGTGCTCTCCTGGGTGCTGCTGCCGGGAGTAGGCAGTGGTCCTACCTCCCATGGTCAGGGTTGCTGGCTGCTCCTGGGGCTTGCTGCTGCCACGGTGCATGTAGCAGAGGGCTGGACCCACGTGGGCATAGAGCTGGTGGCCATCCTGCTTCTGAGCCGGGCTGGCTGTGGGGCAGGCAGCATCTGGCCCTGCAGCATCCTCTCTAGGTCTTGGCAGCGATGCGGAACCTGAGGGAGAGGAGGCAGTGTGGGTGCCCAGCTCCTGACCGTCCATGTAGGCTGGACAGGAGCATCCGTGAATGCTCCCTGCGGGCCGCTCCGCCACATTGGGAAATGCTCCCTCTGCCATCCCCATTCCACGGCTCTCCTTCCTCTCCTTCTGAATGCCTGTGGCTGCCCAATGGGCCATCAGTCTGTATGGGAGAGGCTGTCCTGCAAGATCCGTGTCTCCACCTGGATGTCCAGCCCTTTCCATACAGCTCCCCACCCTCCTGCCTGTGGCAGTGCCCCAGTCTTGCCCTGGGACGTGGGGCAGCGAGTGCAAGCAGAGCCAGCACGTGCCCCTTACCGCATCGATCCTCCGGACGAGGATGGGCCTGACCTCCAGCT